GGCAGCAAAAACGCATATTGCAACGACCCTGTCAATGTGTGTGTGTTCGTCTGTCCGGGTGTTTCAACTCGCAAACCACGCAAGCTTTGGAGCTGAAATTTCGCCAGTGTGTCCCCTAACCAAGTGCCACTCCAGGAGCGCGGTATCGACTCTCACGCACGTCTGGGCCCCGCGTACGAGCACGTGAAAGTTTTGGAGGGAAAATTGCTAACTCGGGAACGAGAAAAATAGGAAGCTGAAACAATAGGGGAATGTTCCCTACCCGTGTATGACAAAAAGATTTCAAATTCAGCTGCCCGGGGCTTACTTACTGGCACGTGAAAATTATGGCAGGGAAATTCATAGCTCGGGAATGAGAAAAGCTAAAAAGTTGAAACTTTGAAGGGATGTTTCCTATTCATGTACGACCAAAAGTTTTCAAACTCAGCTCCCTAGGATCGCCCAGGGCTTACGTACGGGCACTTGAAAATTTTTGGCGCGAGAATTACCCGGGAACGGGAAAGCTAGGAAGCTAAAACTTTATGGCAATGTTCCCTACTCGTGTACTAACAAAATTAGGTGTTTAGATGCGTCCGGGGCCACGCACGGGCACGTGGAAGTTTTGGCGCGAAAATTACTAACCCGGGAACGAAAAAAGCTAAAAAGCTGAAACTTTGGGGTAATGTCCTCTACTCATGTATGGCCAAAAGATTTCAAATTCGGCTCCTTAGAATCGTCCGGTATCCACGTACGGACACGTGAAAATTTTGGTGGGGAAACTGCTAACGCGGGAACGGGGAAAGCTGAAGGCTTTAATTTTAAGGGAGTGCCAAATTTAACTCTTCTAGTGCGGCCTTTTTCACAGACCAGCAACATTCCATTTGTCGGGTCACTGAAGTCGACATCTACAATTAACATGCCACATAGTTGCGCAATTAACTTCTCGAACTTCGAGGGCCAGTATCTGACAGGGTTAGCTACTATGATTCTTTGCGTTCTTGCTACGGCACGAAAAGTGCAAAAACGCATAATTGCACCAGCCCGCCTGGTACGTTCCAGCCTGGGTTGGTTACAGAGTTATCCGAAGCCAGATAA